ATTTATAATTACTTCAAATTTCTTAGCTGAAAAACAACAACAAAAAGCTATAGTCACCGGCCAGTGACTATCACTTCAGAGACAGTGAATCTTGATTATTCAGAATGCAGGAAAATCAATAATAGTCACCTCGAAATTTATACTAAATAGCTGTGATTGTATCATTTGCATAATATTAAAATGCGTGCATATTTCAGGAGATTAGTCAGAGTATACTAACTCTCTGCATTTCAATCTCTTTTCTTACAGAACAGAATCTGAGTGGGGTAGATCGCTTATTGTAAAGCGAGTCGCATTCGAGGCATTTGATTGCTTCCTTCCTTTATTCTACATTGCGTTTTACCAACTTGACGTTGTTAATCTCCGTCGAGAACTGCTTGGCTTGTTTGGAGGCAAGTTGTGATTTTAAACCATGATACTAATCCAGCCATGCATTGAATTAATCTGAAGGACCTGCATATAGGGCAAGCAGCGTGTTTATAGGATGTTTAGTTATGCACTTTTGTCGGTTAACTACATGAATTTTTGGATAAATTGAATCGAAAAAAAGAACGAATGGCGGATGTGGCAAAAATGCATCATCTTTTTAGTAGGATTTCAACCTATAGGCTTCTTTGGCTCAGCCAATTAGGCTGAGAAATAATTTGCCAGGGAAACCCAATTCACGGCTCTAACATCTCCCACTTTTTGTAATTAATCATTTTAATGAGTTTTAAAACAATTTGCTCATTTCCATTACTTGTTTCCAGGCGACGAGATACGGAGGCTGGTAACGGAGACAATAATCCCGTTTATAACCGAAAATGTTTCACAGTGGCGAATCAAGAGACAGTTTTGTGAGATTCACAAAATGTCTAAAGTCCAAGAACAGGTACTGGATAAAAATTACGGTCATGAAGTAGAAATACATTAAAATGGGACAAGTTTAGTTCAGTTTTTTCCCCTAGTGACATTTTATATAGCTAAGTGTAAAGTAAGTATATAAGTTAACTAAAGATGTAAACTAAATGAACTATGATTCATTTGTTAAAAAGATTGTTTGGAAAAAGATCATGTTGCTTTAACGTCAGATTATCCATACTTTTAGGCAATATCCGACTCGGTATTAGAAGAATATGATCAATTCGATGACTACTTGGAGATGGTGATGCAATTTGGGGTTCGTTTATAACATTTGAGGCGTATATAGCCAGTGGATTTCTTGTCTTCCACCATGTAAACGATTATGGTGCAAACGGTTTCTTTTCATTTTGAACAATTTACAGTACGTTACCTTGTTTGCGTCTGCCTTTCCTCTGGCGTCTGCTGTTGGCGTCGTCTTTCTCCTCATTGAGAGCCGCTCAGATATGTTTAAACTTCTCTTTATTTATCAACGACCAAAAGTTCTAAGGTAATTTTTATATATTTCAAATGCATGCATGGAATTGTAAACATCACAATGAAACTTTTCAGACGTGAACGTCAAAGACGACGTGAAAGTGGCGAGTTAATGGCGTGGCACGTCCATATTTAGGCGCATCACGCCATTTATTCGCCATTTTTACGTCGTCTTTGACGTTCACGTCCTCATGCTAAATCTCACTATTTATTGTCCATTTCAAAGCTGTTACCTTTATCTTCTCTTATCTTCTCGCCTGAGTCTTAATAGTAGAATACGCAATCAACTGAAATGAAAACGACTCAAATTACATGCCTTAAAAAACACAGATGTGTCAATTGTAGCTACATTGTTTTACCATGCAGAACGTGTGATATTGGCGTATGGTACAATGTATTGTGGTGCATGGTCGCCGTATCAATGTTAACCAACACTGTGATAATGGGATTCTCATCAGAACAGCTTGCTGAATGGTTACCGTGGATGTACGAAACTATCGAGGGAGATCAATTCATCAAGCTAGGTTATGGCAGGTACGTAGATTACATGATATCCCGAACCAATCCACTGGGGATCTTTGCTGTATCATAAATCGTTTCATCTGACAGTTTTTGTATGTTTCCTATAGGTACATAGTTGCTTGGGTCTTCGCATTTGAGCACTTTCTTATTCTGTCCGCTTTGTTTATCACGTGGTTTGTGAACAGCAAACCGAAATGGGTTCGCGTTGCCATAGCCAAGGAGAAATACGAGAAGAAGATGGAAGCACAGGAGGCAATATTATTGACAACCGAGAGAAGTCGTTCGTTACGAAATTCGAAGAAAACTCAATAATTACAGCCGTTCATTTCTGTCGCGTAGGTATTTAAACACAGTCTGCCATAAATTATGCCGAGAATAATTTTGAGGTCAACTATATTTATATTGTTTTCACGTATACACTGATTTTGGACAATCAAAACAGTAAAAACAATCACTACTGCATATAGGTGCTTTGCAATTGCTGCCATTTTGGTTGATCTTTCAAAACATATGCACAAAATCATGTTTCTGGATTTTGCTGATGACATGAGCTTCATCGACTCGTGTAAATGTTTAAAACCTTTGGTTTAACTACGCTTGTGCTTTTTTTTTCAATTTTGCTAGACTCTACTTTCTTATATACAAGAATTATTTAATTAGCAAGTAATTAGTAACTAATGAATGATACTGAAGGAATTTCAGTTATTAAGATGCATATGTCAAGTATGTCTTCTAAATATACAGTCAAAATTCATTTCTAACTTTTACTAACTTCAGCTTTCACACTCATATCAATCAATTTTCAATTGTGTTTGTCAGCTAAATTTTGACTAAAGCTGATAAATTTCTCGTCGTTGTTAAGACCAGCGAGAAGTTTCATAAAACCAGGATTCGGTTGTGCCATTTTTCTTCCTTCCTGTACAAACTCTAGTGCTTTCTCCAAAGAGAGATTCATAAACGCCATAACGTAAGCCACGACGATAGTTGATGACCGAGATTTGCCCTAAAAAAGAACTTTGTAGTTAAAAATGTCTAAAGTTATAGCATAGGAAGCCCAGACAAACGAGTTGAAGTTAATAAAAATCCGTAAAACACTTGAGATATGTGTTAAAATGAATTAAAGTATATGTAATTTGCTACAAAACTACTGTTAGATCCATTCAACGAAGCGTGAGATGACTTTGAGGTATTGAAATGAGTAAATAACACGATCTTGGCAGTCGTGTGGTCATCCCAACAATGGTATTTACCTGTTTTCTTTCATAAAGACTTATTCCAATACCTCAAAGTCATGTCTCGCTTCGTTGAATCTCGGATAACCGGGCTCGTGTAAACAGGCCCTAAGTTACGTCGCTAGTTGCATAGTCAAATGGCAGCGCCACTGGAGCACGCTACATACATGGTTCTAACAGTAGTTTTGTAGCAAATTACATACTTTAATTCATTTTAACACATATCTCAAGATTTTTATTAACTTCAACTCATTTGTCTGGGCTTCCTATGGTTATAGTCAATAGTCGTCCTCAAAATGGTGCCGTTTTTGTTCGTAGACGCAAATACACGTACGCCACTTGAGCCACCGTTTGCACTATTTCTATTTCGCTGATTGGCTAAAATAGTGAGCGCGGGATCACCTGAAGGATGCTAATTAATAATCCAACATTTCAACTATACAGTATTGAAATTTGAACACCGTTTTTTTAACATTTCTAGTGCTACATTTTTTATGATTTAATATACGCAATATTAGCTGTATTCTTGTAATTCCCTAAACGGTAAATTGACAAAGTTTTAAGACTGACAGTAAAGTTAAGACATAACTCTTAATGCTTTGTTTAAGAAGAGTTATTTCAATGAAATATTTGCATCCTACCTGAGCACAATGAACGAAAACATTGCCATTCGTTCGTGCATTGTGAATGAAAGTCATTCCGTGTATGACGTCATCAATAGGGATTTCAAACTCTGCATCATCGTCCCAGGATAATGTCAGATAATCAATATGCAGCTCCTTCACAATTTTTTTAACAGATTTCTTACAAGAAAGAGAAAACATTACAACTACTTGAAAACACAATCTGGGTTTTAAACAAAGTCCTTCAATAGCACATTACTTTTACCCCTTACTTCATACTTTGGTCCAAAGAAGTTCACCAATCCTGCGGCAACATTAAGAATATGTGTGATATGCTGATTTTGCAGAAACTCTTGGTTAATTGAGGCTCGGTAACCACCAAGATACAAACCGCCTCTTTCAGTGGTGTCATCAGTTGGTATTATAACACTGCCTAACTTATCCATAGATTGGGTGTACTCCAGTGCCTACAAATGTTCATTCAGTAATGGTTGGGGAATTAGCACCAATATATTAAAGGTAACTGTTTTAAGGCAGTAATTTTATATATAGAGCAGTAAAGAAGGCTAGGTAACGATATAAAAAGCACCAGTACCCACTGCCTGTTACTCTAGCACTGCATAATGCAGGTGTTTCATTGCTTTGATATATTATGAGGTATATTTCTTTAAAGGGTTGGTCTCTTAGAAATATTTTACTTCAGGTTGATGGGAACTTGTGTGAATTATCCAAACCCTTTCACTTACAGTGACTTACCCTCATCAAAATCTCTTTACTCTCAATGGAAGTTCTGTTGTGCTTGGAAATTTCCTTTGAACAGGTGACACACATATTTGCTCTAAATCGATTTGGGACAAACTTTACACAACTTGACTCCCCAGTGAAGTTGACATGTGTATAAAAGTTTTCTGCCATGATTGTCTGAATTTTAGCATTGGTCAGGTGGATATCTGTCTAATCAGTGATTGAAAATAAAAAGTAATTTTAAAATTCATCCACGTCATACACATATATTGCAATTAAACTTGTCACGCACTTCAATTAAACATCTCAATGACTTGTCAATAAATGTCCTATATTATCCTTGATATCCAAACACTGCATAAATGTATCAATTTACTAATTGCAACATTTTAACGCCAAAATGTCGAACTTACATGACGTTCTTCACATTTTGCGGAAATAACAATTTTGCTTTCACAATCATAACATTCGTTAGATAATTACAGGGTTGGTTATCATTTTCTCGAAAGAGATCATTTTATTCCGGAGTTACAGTGTTCTGCCTTGAGAATTTTTTTTTTGTCTGCATGAAACATTTAGGCGCTGAATGGGATGTCAATTGTCTCTTCAGCAAGGTCTGTATTTGGCTGCGAACGAGCTAGGTTTTGACGAAGCTGATTTGCAAGAATGGCGTATGAAAGATCACCACATTGAGTGCTTAGCCTTAGTGAGTAAATATTTCTCAAATATGTCTTCTCTTTGATGGTGCATGTATCCCGCATGCGCACAAGCAGGACCGATTTATTTATTGAAACTAATTTCGGCACATCAGTATTTGCTAAAGTGAATAAATTCTTAGAGATTATAACTAAAAATTACAGCAGGGGTTGCACTGAAAGTGTATGAAATAACCTCCCTATGAAATAACCTCCCTCCTCCTAGGTTGCTATAACAGCTTGCCCAAATGTTAATGTATATGTTTTATTTGCTTATAATGACTGCTCTAATTAATTGATGTCTATTTATCGACTTCCATATTTATTGACTTCCATTGGAACACTTTATGATCCCATGTCTGCAAGTTGTACATTCTGGTATAGAAGGGTGCCAGGCTAGTCAATGAGGCCATGAGTATGGCATACCCTACCGGTCTCCATGCTCAATAATTTAACTTGATTGATGCATTACCACTACTACTTTTTTCCACATAATTTTCTCTTCCAACTTCAAGTGCTTTTTCATTGAGAAGCAAATTGATGTCTGGTTATAATGCACTATGCATTCCATATTTTTTTAATTAATAAAGAATTTCATTTATAAGTAATTAAGGAGCTACCTTCAGCAAGGAGTATGTGGTTTTTCTGTCTCACTCAAGGTGGTGTGCAAAATAGTAAATGTCGTTTTACCCCTGATATAACTTTCTAACCTTGTTACATATAGTCTTCTGCGAATGCATACAGGAGAAATAATATGTATTATAATATGTTCTCTTTAAGGTTGAAGGGAAATGGTTGCAAGAACTTTGTGATGGTGTGTATACTAAGCCAAACAGTTATTCTGGAACTTCATATGAAAGATTTCTGTTACTTCAGAGATCAAATAATGAAGTACCTAAGCCATGGAAACGGGTAGTTCTGAAAATCTACAATAAACCATTGCAGTCTTTCAGGTATAACATAGTCTTACAGCTTCCCCTGGTATGTACCATATCTCTAAGGGAGGTGCCTGCATTTGAATGTTTCTTTAATGGTCACATCAATCGATTAATGTAATGTAAACTTTAGGATTCCAAAAGTCCCATGTGACCACAACTTTCCATGCAGCGACACCTTTGCTGATTTGATGTCATATGTGTCAACGGAAAACTTCAAGAATTATTTGCTGCAATCTTCAAAAAAATACAGCAGTACACCACAGAATGGCGATGGAGAAATTGAAGAGATTTCCGGAGAGGTACTGGATAACTTTATTTTATACGTCTAATAACCTTGCCAGAAATCGGTCCTGATCGCTATTTACCGACGAGCTTATTATTATTTGCAGCCAGCTCATATTCATCAACAACGATTAAATTGACAATATTGACTTTATTGTGTTTCTGAGACTTATTTTTCAGTTATTTCTGTTACGAATTCCCGTCTTGACACTGAAGTCTTCTGTCTTCCAACCGCCTCGCATGTGTTAATTTTTGTCTTTTACGTTTTGTCTTTTTAGTTGCTTAACTGCTATAAATGGTCTCTGTTTTCTTTCTAAAAATTTTATTTTTCAGGACATTCTACGGCGCTTTGCCAAACATTTGTTCAATTTGGAAATCATCAAGCTCGGCAAAGTGTCTCGTGACGAATCCTCAGATCTCAAAGTTAACATCTCCAACTCAGTGGAAAAGTTGCCTCCCAAAGAATCGTTTGAGTTGTCAACTGAAAAAAACTTCTCTGGTCTCTTGTCGATTTACGGAATACTGGAGAGCAAAAGCGCGTATTTCGTTTTTGAGCCGTTTGCCCCTCATTCGTTGCAAGACGTTGTTTGGTTCAGTCCTAGTGTTATATCGTCCACGATCACGAAGCCTTTATTCCTGTTGTATCAAATCCTTAAAATGTTTGAGACGTTTCACGCTTTTGGTTATTATTGTACGGTAAACAGCCTTCAAAATATCATGCTTGGGAATTGCCTTTGGCTTCATTTAAGTGCGAGCAGTGCCAACGTCGGTGATTTGACGCCTGAGACCAAGAAACCCACGAAAAGCGCGGAACAAGGTTCTCCGGTAAAACCCGAGTCGGACTCAAAAGAGATCGGCGCTTGCGAGGTGTCGTCTCCATTTCAAAATTGCGGTCTACCAGAGTTAATTGATATGTGGGTTAAGAAGGAAATAAGCAATTTTGATTATTTGATGGCTTTGAACAAGCTAGCCGGACGCCGACTTGGTGACCCCAACTATCACCCTGTGCTCCCTTGGGTCACAGACTTCACGTCGCCCAGTGGCAAATACCGTGATCTGACAAAATCGAAATTTCGCATCAACAAAGGCGACTTCCAATTGGACATCACGTTCAAAAACGTCGCAGATTCCGATGAGGACGTTACCGAGAATCCGCCGCATCACGTCTCCGGAGTCCTTTCCGAGATCACGTATCACGTGTATCTTTCACGTAGGACCCCGAAAAGCGTGCTCCAAAAACACGTTCGCGCGAAATGGGAGCCAAACGAGTATCCCGCGAACATGCAACGCCTGCAAGAATGGACTCCAGACGAGTGCATACCCGAGTTTTACAGCGACCCTACAATTTTCAAATCAATCCACCCCGATCTGCAGGACCTTGGTATACCGCCCTGGGCTAAAAGCCCGGAGGACTTTGTACGGTTACATCGCAAAGCGCTCGAAAGCGAGTACGTTTGTGCTCACTTGCATGACTGGATCGATTTGACGTTTGGGTATAAGTTGGTCGGGCTTCCTGCGGAAAAGGCGAAAAATGTGTATCTTCATTTAGTTGATCAGCATCAGACGATTACCAGTCATGGTGTGGTGCAGTTGTTCGAGCAACCGCACCCAAAACAACATCGACATCACGACATGGTTTTGTATCCATCCATGGTCAATCTGGAAGATGGCCTTGAACATGAGATGAGGGATGTCTCCAACGAAGGTATTATTGTTTATGTGGACAAAGTGTGTAAGACTCAAGCCATTACCTAAAGGCCCAGTGAAAAATATTATGCATCGTTTCTCCTGGTTATAGAAAATCATATATCATATTGTAGCTATACATATTTTTCACAAATAATTTTAACGCATACAGTATTTACTGTAAACTTTTGTTGGACCAGATGAATTTCAAATCAGTTTTAGATCGTAAAACTTTTTCATCATCATTTAGGTCAGCTTGGTTTCGTTGAAGAGGGCCAGGCAGAGTACACGTGCGATGAGGTCTCACCAAGTTCATGGGATGAGCTTGATTATGACATGAAAGTTGAAACGGGCGAAGACGAACTGAATGCTTCTACGAGTTTCAAGAAATTGTTGCCACGCCCTACTTTTCCTGCCTTTTTGAGATTCAAAGATCCCGTTGAGACGACAACTGACATTTTGAAAAGCATCGATAGTTTGCCGATATCGCTGCCGATAGGTTATGGTCCGCTCGAGGAATTTGATCAAGTGGAGCTGCTTACCAAGTTCAAGATGCAAACGAAGCAGAACGGTCATCCTGTCGCAAAAAATACATCAGCAAATGACCAGGTAAATCATTTTATTTATTTTAAGTGCAACGATTCTAACGGTTTTTAAAGTCATTATAACCAGAGCAAAAATAACAGCTATCAATAACATCGGCAACAGCCTATAACTGCATCCAATAACCTATTCTGCAAAGTAAAAAATAAAAGGAAGCCCACACAAACAACCAACGCATTTGAATATTATTGAATTTGTTCGAAAATTTATAGCCATACTTTGGATTGTCAGAATGGATTAATTTCCCGAGCCCTGATATTACATTTCCCCCCTAATATTACATTTCCCCCTGTGAAATCATATTTTTTTCCAGGTGGTAAATTCGCAAAGACTGGAATTTCCAGATTCAGCTCGCCACAATGAAATTCAAAACATTTGCACGATGTTGATGGAAATGTTTCTTCCTGCGAAGATGAGACTCTTGCCATGTGATTTGACACAGAAAGAGAGATTCCACATGGCCAAAAAAGTGTTCAGCGCTGGAAAATTCGCCATTCCAGGGTGAGATTATCCTGAATTAGACATGTTCGTAATTCTTTATTTTGTGATCTCAGAGAAGAGGGGCTATTTTATGATCGCGTGAAATTCTTTATGAAGAATATTGTATCTTCAACATTCTAGTAATGCTCAGCTTTCTTTTCAGAATTCTTCGCGATGGAGTAAAAACGTTATTCGAGGAAGGCTGTGGTCTTCACAAACGTCACGGATTTCCTCCATTAACCCCCGAACTGTTACTTCAACAACATGTGAACATTATACCATTCCCGTCATACTTCAAAAAGCTTTACGAATTCCTTGTTGAATTCAATCTGGGTAACCCAGAAACCAGTAGCTTGACTAAGAGAAACAAAAATTGCGAAAATTTTGCTTTGACAAACAACCTTAGCGATCTTTCTTACATTTCACGGCAAGTCGAAATCGCTGTTCGACATCTACCGGATTTGCTTACGGATTTGAACGGCGAGGGACTTGATCTGTTGATAAGCTATTTGAGACCGTTATTTGCTAACGAAAACACTCAACTGCAAGCGTTTTTACATCTGTTTGAACCACTGGCGGCGCGTTTGGGACCACAGCGAACAAAAAAGACATTCCTGAAGCAATTGCTGAAGCATTACGATGTACGAGCGAGCAACGCTTCGGTTTTACTCTTTCATCAGTCGTTCTTGTCGAAACTAATCATGCGATTTGGCATGGATCAGTTTCTTGACCATTTTCTTTCCTTTATCGTCGATGCATTGAACTCATCAAACAAAGACCCACAGGTTAGTGCAATATTATAGTGTTGCTAGCCCAAAACCGTATATTACTTTCCTTGGGATATTTTAAAGATACAGGAAGCAACAAATATCGAAACTCCACGACTACTTAACGGTCGAGTTTCTTCCTAATCCAAGTATTGATCTTTAAGTTGACGCCATCTTGAAAAATATGAGATTAAATTCCCGCCAAAATGCGGAACGGTAACTAGTGAACTACTGATAAAACCTGGAACGCTAATTTGTCGGTATCTTTGAAGTCAAATTTGAAGGTAGTTTTTAACAACCGCTGGAGCCGGTTGTTCGAAAGGCGTTTAGCTTAAACGGTGGATAAGTTAAAAATAGAAAACCAAATTATCTATTTATTGAGCAACTGAGCTGAAATATTTCGATGTAAATGGTTTAATTGTCATTGGAAGTACATATTAATTGCATAAAATGTAGTTTCAGTCATTCACAAGATGTATATGAGAGCATTTTTAAACTTTGGCTTATTTGCTGTTTAACCTATTCGAACAACCGGCCTATAATAGTCTATCAGCAGATCAAATATTTACCTGAGAAATATGGCTTTAGGTAAATGTGGATACCTGCAGTCAAGAAGAGGTACAAGGAGCTGTTCTTGAAGATGACAAGGACCCCGTTCAGAGTGATGCAGGGGAAGCACAAAACGAACTTAGTGAGAAATCCAGTGGTGAAAATGGTGAATCTAGTGGTCAAAATATTGAACACGCGAACGAATCTGGTGATGTAAGCGATAAAAGTAAAAATCAGGCGTACAGTAAACCAGGGATCGCCGCTTCTAGACCGTCAGAAAAATCGAGTGGGATTGCAGAAGCTGGTGATCAAACATATGAAAGCCGTAAGGACGCTACTGCGAACTTTGATGAAAATACCTGCATAGAAAATTCTGGAAAAGAAAAATGTGACCGCTTGGATCCAGAGCCGGGTGTTGACACGACTGATTGTGCTTATGATATTAACTTTTCCCCAAAATCAGGTAGCTAAAATATTTAATGATCTACTTATTAAATGTGGGAAAGGCCGAATACGTTGTAAGGCGTCGATGAGTTTAATGAGCGTTCTATTGAAAAACTTCTCACCATCGTAAAATGAAAGAATTCGCTCCCCCGATATTCCCTCAAAACTGCATAAAACATTGCATAATCATAAGTTCTTTCAGCACTTTTAGCTGGAATGAATTTCTCCGACAAATTGGAGATATTTTTATACTTAAGTGCTGTTTCTTTCAAGACTTAGTCGTAGACCACCCTCAGTCTGTGGTCTCGTCCAAGTTAAGTAAAACAATGGCTTTATAATTAAGACATCTCTTATATTTCATTCTCAGGGAACATACAAGAAGACTTCTTGAGTGACGATGAAGAAGAGTATGGCTACGAAAATGACGTGGATGAGGACGATGACGAAGTTGGAACGATTGAAAAAAACGATGCCATCTTTAACCGGTCGTTTCCGGCCGTAGCACGACGAGACTCCGATGATGACTGGGAAAGAATTGCCGATTCCGACTTCAGTTTGGAACGGTCCGTCTCGTTTCACTCGGAGCATTTGGAAGACGACAAGGAGGACGTAGAAATAATAGATAATGTGAGTTAAAATGACTAGTAACAGCAGTGCGCCACCATAAGGTCAGGGGCGTCGAGGGGTCATGGGCGTCGCGGGGTCATGGGCGTCGCGGGGAGGGGGGCATCGTTGCCACCCCGTGAAAGTCCGTTGTATGCTAACTAATGGTCATAGAGTTTTCTTTCGGGAAAATATTTGGGTGAGCGGAGAAATTTCTTTTTCGGAAAACACCCCCTTGTCTAAACATTTTAGCGACGACCATGCAGATGACGTATAAATACATATTCGGTTCTGCTTAGTTAACATAGCTATAGATTAGAAATTTGGGAAAATTTGAGCATGAAAATGTTAGAAATCTCCGACAGAAAATGTCAAAAAAATGCGCGCAATGTTGTGGCTTACCATGTTTCTTTCAAGTCAGAAATTTCAGACAGCCAAATTACTGGGGAAAAAGACGTCTATTTTAGTCGATAGAAATTAAATTGGTGGGGGAAGCAAAACAAGGTTACATAGACAGTATTTTTTAGGGATAGCCCTATTTTTCTTGAATTCCTTCAATGTTTTCCTATTATATTTTAGGCTATGGAGCGTGAAATACCCGAAGCTGCCGCAGAAAGCATTTGTTGTTTCACACCAAGGCTTGGACCACTGCTGACATCGAATCACATCATTAAACCGCTTTTAGGTTTGCTGGTGAAATGTTATGTTAACGTTGTTGGATTGGGCGATAAAGGAATGCTGATTGGGGACACTAATGCTAAGTGGATATTGCGTTGTATAAGGTCTTGTGCCGAAGTTTATGGCGAGGCTGTTGTTGTTCATCAGTATTTGCCTTTTGTTATGTCTAAGGTAAGATTCGTGCTATTTTGAAGTCTATTGTGTACATAAAATAGAATTAGCTCTCATCTCAACGTTTGGTTTTATAAAAACTTTTAAACTATAGTTAGTGATAGAATTGGCCAATCAGAATCATGTGTTTTGGAGCTAACTCGAATCTAGCTGCGCAGATGTCATTCAGAACTATTGACGTAGTTATAGTGAGTCTGCGTCTGTTGCCAAATTTAATAATCTAATAAAAAATCATTTTCATTAACCAATAATTTGGTCTTTGCCTTCGCGTCGCTGTCCATCAGCTTTTATAAGATCGAGATCATGGTGTAAATATTTGTTATTATTATGTATTACTAATGCAATCTCGATTGTGATTGGCTAAAAACCTACAGATAATTCTCAATGTCTTGCCACCTACACGACATTGAAAATTATCCGTAGGTGACGTAATTTTTTGCCGCTAGTTTGTTGTCAATAATGGCGCAGGCTTCCTCTCTAAAAAGGAAATACATAATAAAACAATTATTGAATTTGGTTTTCGCATGATATCGAGAATTATCAAGCCTCAGTTTGCGTTATCCGCCTCAGCTTCGCTTCGGCGAATAATGCAAACTTCGGCTTGATAATTCTCGATATCACACTCAACCTCATTCAATAATTGTTAGTTATACTACATAACTTAATAATTTGAACTGATAATTACAAGAAATGATGTGAATCAGCGCCGTTAGGTACTGTTTTAAATAATGTTTATGTTCACTTTAGATCAATATCTCGTCAGAGCACGTGAGTGTGAAAGGTGAAGCAAATCTTGCTGGAGCGCTTGTTCTTGTCAGGGAATATATTACTTGCATTTCCCAAGATTCATTGCTGCAACAGTTTGAGGTAAATCCTAGCAACAGGCTCGTAGTTGGTAGAACTGTGGGTAGTTCACCAAGGCAAACAAACAACGGTCGTTTTCGTATACTAAAGATGTACACAAACTTCCCACAAATTTAGCCCCGTTTGTCTGAATCGATAGCGCGTTAGGTTCTGCACATGGTCGGCGTTAGATCATATCGAACTAACGTACATGACATCACAAAAATTTTCAATAACCCTAACCCTAACCCTAATTAAGGTAAAGCCAGAGATACTATTACATAAGTATATGATCACTCCTATACTGGGTATGAGGGTAACAGACATTTACACTTTCGTGTACATTTATAAATGTATAAATGTATCATCATTCATCGCCATTTTTATTTTATCATTTTTATGAACCAGCTCTAGAAAGACTTCATGTAAGACTTCTGTTATTATACTTCCGTTATTGCAAAATTTATGACGTCATGTACGTTAGTTCGATATGATCTAACGCCGACCTCTGCACATAAAAAGTTCGACGTCTGAAACAGGCCTGAGATCCATCAAGTAGTATGAACAAACTTTGACAGGCCATCCAGTGAAGCCACCAACTTTACTGCAACTATTGCTATTTCAATACATAATACTTTCACAACGCTATATATAGATCAGTGACTGAGATTGGCCAATCAGAATACCTGGGAGTATCAAAATAGGCAATGCCTTCAAAAGTTGACCTTAAAACAATACCTGAAATGCTACTATGTCCAACTAGATTTATTCATATGGCTGCATCTCAGAAGTTAACATCTTCAATGATTAGTCCATTTTATCGTTTCAGATGCTCTGTTATCAAGCTCTGGATCTGGTCCTTTGTTTAATATCGTCTGCGACGATAACTTTTGCAAGCGAAGCTCCTGCGAGGACCTTCCTCGCCTTGCTCATCCTCGATATTCTTCAAGTTGTATGCGAAATCTTTGAGCGACCTTCGGCCCAGGACCTTCTCTCGCCTCTGATCGCCACATTGTTTTCCTGTTTCGAATTTGGTTCCACTCCTACGTCCCCAAACAAAGACAGCTCGCCAGGGCAGCCTTGCGCGGACGAGATACGCGAAACTTTCAACGCATCGTTGGCGTATAACTTGTACATCACCCTGTGTAAATGCCTCGGGGACACTTACATGACGGCGACTTTGGATAAGAACAACGAGATGATATGGCAGTTGTGCTGTTCGGTAGACAAAGCATTGTCTAATCACACGCCGAAGGCAATGACACCTACGGACACAGAACCTAAACTGAAGCCGTTTGATTCAGAAAGTAGCTACTTGGCTGAGCCAGAAACTCGAAAGGCCGCGAAGAGTGCTAGCCTCGAACGAAGTGATGCTTTTCAACAGGAAAAAAGGTACGCGGCAATCGAGGTAATATAGAGGAGGAAACACACCCCGACAAATAAAGACATCATACAAATTTAGGACTGTTTCAGACGTTGAACTTTTCATTTTCCGAATCGAATGCAAATGAAAGATTTTATTTAAACAAAGTCAAAGATTTGTGCTCATTAACATCAGGTTCAGCACATGAAAAGTTTGACATCAGAAACAGGCCTTTATATATGAATTTTAAGAAAGGTAAGGCAGAATTAGTAATTGGTAAAATTTTGACTGTTTTTCAGAATCATTGGCAAACCAAACTGATTAAATTATTTACAAGTTTGTTTAGCATTTGCGTCTTGTCTCTCTTGATAACTCATATCTTGAGTTTGCAAGATGTTTTTGTTTCGAAGTGAACTCGATTTGTTATGAATGTCAAATATTCGTTGTGAATGTCGAAGAATATATCATTGTTACTCCATATCATTTGTTTTAAGTATTTTATATCATACAAAATAAACTACACGACAGTACTAAAAGCATGTACTGATAAAATTTTTAAGAGCAAAAACGACATTTGTATCGTCGAGACAACATTTGACTGGGAACTGGTTGAAGTATTGGAAGAGTCATTTAGGTGAGACTTGAGTTTGTGATGAATTAATTTTACTAATGTAAGAAAAGAGCTTGATTAAAGCCCATTGTGTTCACGATTTTGATTATTACATGTCTGATTAAAAAATTGTAACTGTAACACCACACCCGATCTCCTGAAAAACGTACCGTCTGAGAGAAACGATAATTATCTTTGCCAAGTTTTTACGTCCAATCTTTTATTTGAAACGTGCTAGTTCTCCACGTGCTTGACTCGTTACACTTTAGTGACTAAAAATGTATTATAGGAAAAAGAAAAAAGATTGATGGAAACTCGTTTTCACAACTGAAGCTTCAAACTTTCGCTGGTAAGCATTATACTGATTCGATTAAAGAAGGATATGACATTTTTAAATCTGTCAGACTTAAAGTACGTCTTCGCTTATTTAGTCGCTTACTGACTTGGTGAAACAAACTAAATTTAAAGCGATTACTTTCACCCTACGGGCGATAGGTAAATACAGCTGGGTGGAAACTTAGTGGGAAAACGACAGTTTCACGAGCGCTTTTTAAACCGTTTTATTTCCCTTAGGACACAGTGATGTTGTAAAAGATATCCATATTCAGGACAGTGAACATCTGTTTCTCTCCGCCAGCCGTGACAAAACTGTCAAACTGTGGCTACTCAATAACCATGGCGACGGAACTGGCCAATCAGCGTGCTCCTGGACAACGTACGATCATCGTAAGCCAGTCTTTGCTGTTGATGTCATAGACGTTATGAGACAGGCAGTTTCGTGCGATGGATCTGTTCATGTGAGTTTAGTGGTTTCAGGCACTTAAGCGTTTAATTTTAAATGCCCTTTTGTGTGAACAATTCTAAGTCGGCAAGGGGTGGGAAAATATCATGTTTTAATATAATTAATCACAACGTTGTTATATAAAGGCCTATTTACACTTTACGATTAGTTGTATGCTATTATCATTCTGACGAATGGAAACGAGTGCTTACGCCACAACCTTTGCTCATTACATAAGATGCCGAATTTAAAATGTGACGTTTGTACGCGTGTTTATACATTCACAACGCCAGCCTTAAGAATCGTATACAACAAATCGCATAGTGTAAATCAACTTTAAATTAGCAACTTGTTTTGTTAAAGGACATTGTAGTTGAGAGAATGTAGAATCAGCTGGGAATTAACGAGCTTTCGGTATTTCCATCGTAATTTCACGATATTTTTTTCCACCGCCAGTTTTGGGACATACCAACAGGGTCGTCCGTTCTTAAACTCAAGTTTCAGAAAAGCAAAGAAGCGGTTGCTATGGCAACCCTGCCATGTCCCAGTCCTTGCTTGGTCACTGGGATGCAAAATTCAACTGTCAGGTGAGGACTTTAACTTCGAACGATCTTGTAATACTCCTCAAAGACAAAGTTGTATTCTATCCCAGTTGTATTTTAAAACAACAGCTCTTATCTTACTCCATAGCAAGATTTGGAGCTTCTTTATTACGAGAAATAAACCGGCCTTATTTAATTTTGGTACTGGTGTTTTCAGATTCATTGATTCTCGTGAAGGTAACTTTGGACACACGTGGAAAGTAACCAGCAACGGCCTCGCAGGTGACTTTTGAATTTCCTGATCTTTCTTCAGCTATGTGCCCGTTTCAAGCGCTGTATGTACTTCATGTTTGCCAAAACCCAGATATCAATTTTAACATTAGCATTTCAGATTCTCAGATATACATGTATATCCAGTTATAGAGATAGAATAGTTCTGCTGCACTACTACTTCTCCGTTTCTCTGTTTACAATCCACGTACACAGGTAATATCCGAAGTCTGTGTGTGACGCAAGACGGTACGTCCATGGCTGTCGGATTCTCCAGTGGATCTCTGTCATTGGTTGATCTTCGAGGAGGAATTCTGACCAGGCAATGGAAAGCACACGAGGCTGAAATTATACAGGTAAGACCAGACTGAGGTACGCCGTGTGGCGCAATATCGAGATTTCGGAGCATCTAATTCCGTCAAAGGCCTCGTTAATACCATTGTTCGGCCTACAATGATCGACGCAGAGCTTTCGCTAAGTCTAAAGCATGTAAACTTTACCAGTAATTGTTTAATACTTTAACTTTCGCCACTGTCTGGTATATAATTCAATTTTCCCCCCACACGCTAATCGTATGCATATGAAAATCTTTGAACTGTAATTTCACGCGAATAGCAACATTGTTAAAAAGGCTAGGGAGACATTTGAAAAACGAATCTACGAATCTGAGAAAAAATCTACGAATTAATCTCCATGATGGTCACCAGAAGTAGACTGCAAGAAATACAATTGTCGTGTAGAAATATATTACATTAAACAGATTTGGTCCATTTAGGGTTAACACTGATCTATCAATGATCAGTACCTGCAACTACACTATGTGAATACCCAATATTAAATTGCAGAATACAAAGCATTTATTTAAAAAAGAACGGTGTTTGTTTCAGAAGTTGCGTAAATATTCAAGGAAGCCTATTTAGTGCATGTGTTCTTGCGTGTTATCTGAATAGGTTAAACCCTACACGAATTCAAGTTATGTTACGTCATCATCGACCCAAAAGATGGAGTTATGGGGAAACGATGCTGTTTCGCTGTGTTCACTTCCCACTGTCACCGGTGAGTTCAGTTGTAAACAGCAAACGTTTCTATTTGTACACATGCAGTACAGGGTCGCTAATTTTTTTATTAATATTTAACTAAACAACACAGGGGTAAGCTGTCTATAACGTACTTCAGCTATGTCACATTTTCCATCGCCCTTCTTTTTAGGCTCAGGGGAGACGATTCAGAGCATCCAAATTCACGACAAGGTGATCGTTTCGTTGGCTGGAAACAATCGCATAGCGTGGCATACGTTCACTGATAAAGAGGTAGCAACAAATTTTACAAATTTATTCCGTCTGTACGTGCTTCTCTTTAAACAGAATTAATTAATCATTTTTGCATTTTCAGCCAACGTATACCCACCTTCGCCTTGGTAGTGATGTTTTTAAGGGGAACATGACATGTTTTGGAGTTCTTCCACTAAATAGAGGTTATCTCCTGGGCAGTGACAATGGTAACATCACGCTGATGGGATAGATCTTACATCTATATATTGCATGTTATGTCATTGCGATGTGATTCGCGTTCCGCGTTTGTTGCTCCCTCGATTTCATTTTTCTTTTGAAAAATTTTCCAACTAAGTTGAGACAGTCGTTTCCCGATGATCCATCAGGAACGATTTGATTATTTTGATATTCGTTTTAAATTCGTAATTGAAATTTATACAGAGTTTGTTCAAATTTATCACCATAAATCACCAGAATGATCTGCGAGGTAAAACGTCTAGTCCAGAATACACGGATCTAATCCTGAATCTAATCCTTCGAGTTTAGTAGTTTGATAAGAGTTAAGGTCAGATTTAGGATTATATGCAGGAACTTTGCAACAAACATTTTAAAATAACCAGCGTTTATTTCATGTGATCTTTTAAAGCAAATTGAATCAAAAGTAAATTAAGACCTCGATAAAACTCCATAGGATTTCATCGAATGACATTTAGTAAGAAATAGAAAATATTTCCCGTGTTTCTATACAGTTATAGAAACACGCTCCTCGACCAATCAGCACGCGCGTACTATAAATGTTACATTATAAATAAATATTCGTACCAGGTTCGGCTGCTATTTACTCTACGCGACAGCAATGCTCGAAGCGTGAAGAAAATATCACGCCGCTTTTAAAGGCGATATAAAAAGAAATCCAAAGGAATCCGGATTGTGAGGTGCAACAGTGGGCACTACGATACTGTTTATGGTGTCGACATGATTGCATCATTATTTCATGACGAACGATCGTCGCCATAAACTTCCAGAAGTGCGAAGCGACGTAATATTAACTGGTCCTAAAATGACTACCCTCGTTTTTGTGTTTAAGGCGTTAGGCCTTAGCCAGTGAACTCAGTTCCGACTGGAACGATGACCACAGCTATTTAACCGCTAACTTCGAAACTAATTTGTGCCTAGTTAAAGACCAGTTCCAGGCAATTCACTGGCGCTGTCCTTCAACTACTGCCTTCAATACGCCGCTTCAAAGATGGCGACCGAATTATCGCCCCAGTTCACCGACCTTTCCTGATAAAAATTCTATGTCCAGCAAATTCTAAATACACAAATATAATCCACGAGATCCAGTTAGGATTATGGTAATAATTATTTATGTTTAGGGTTAACCATATAATCGATCATAAATCTAATGCAAGACCTATTATCCTTACCCTCAATTTAAGCCCGCTGCAAACGTGAGTTATTAAAGACCACGTGTGGCTGTTAGTTCAGCAAGTTGCTCTCGCGGATAGTTTTTCGTGAGGAATTCGCCTCGAGAGACAAGTTTCCCTCGTGCGTGGATGGTTTTCGGGCTGAGCTTACTCCCTGGGGAGGTCGTTAGCTCAGCTGATAGCTCTCGTGTGCGGCGGGCTTTACCCATACCTAATTGCAAAAATTAAATACTTGTATTTTCAATGAACATGGAATTACTACTCCTTCGCTGATGTCTAAATCCCTCAATGGTCAAAGGGCCGTATGGCCCCATGGTATAGCCTTATCGTGCGGGTTAGACCACTAAAAATGGTCAGGTTTATACAGGATTCCAACAAGCTTCCGGGAAAGTGTCTTAATCTCAACACAACGCTAAACGAATGGCCATCGCTTTGTCAAACGACGATTCTATTGATGACGAAATCAAAGATCTTCTCACTTGTTCGTTGTGCTCAAATATTTTACATGACCCAAGAAGCTTGCCATGTCTTCATAGTTTCTGTAAAAGATGTTTAGGTATTAATAATATTTATTTACATTTCGTTTGTTCAAAAGCTTAGGCCTACTTGGCCTCCCAGTGATTGCCCCATTTAATTTGTGATATTTGAAGGTCTCGTTTGGGTCTGATTACGGTGTGCTATATATAGACTCGCTTAATTTTATGCCGGATTGATAAATCGAACAATATTTTCGTGAGGTGTTAATTGTCAGCTGGGTGTCTACACTTGAATTGTACCGAACCTGCCCAGGCTTGTAAACTTTTATTTGCACACAAAATAAGGTCATTACTAATTACAATATACACAGAGGTTTTTAAAGGCTTAGCTCACATTTCATGCTCCTATTTTCATGGTCAGGATTTTCCAACGTCGAGACAGTTAATTATTAAAATTAATTGATGAGGAATACGAATTTTAGTCAGCTGTTTGCAGTTCGCCGTGAAAGTCAATCAAGTGCCCTATATAACTGTCTTTCGAGCGTTTTCGGCGCAAATTATAACCTCTTCCCCTCGGTAACACGCAACAGAGGTGACTGGTCCTGTCCGGGATGTCAACTTCACCTAGTTTTACCTAGAGATGTAATTTTCGCTTTTGTTGTTTACATAGGGCAGTATGTTGAAAGTTTTCGTGGTGATGACAAGAACGTCGAGACATTTCCGTGCTCCAAATGTCGAAAAAAGTTCACGCTTAAAGCAAACCAAGATGTCGATGAAATGCCAAGCATTTGTTTCGTTCAAAATATGTTGGAAATTAATGCGATTGAACAAAAAGCAAAGTCATCTGCTACATGTTCTCGCTGTCAGGAAGTTGCTACTAATCACTGCGCAACGTGCAAAGAGTTTTTCTGCAAGAGATGTTCCACGTCCCACGATAGCTGGATGAGAAATCATGACTTGTTATCTGTGGAAGAGCTGGGCACTCCTGAAAGTCATGTAAAAATGAAAGCAAAGCTTTACTGCGCGAAACACGAAGGAGAAATGCTCAAGTATTACTGTAAAACATGCAGGGAACTTTCGTGTATCGACTGTGTGGTGTCAGATCACATACAGAAACCAAACCATGTTTGTGTGGCAGTGAGTGACGCACAGTGGCAAAAAAAATCATTGCAATCTAGGTCCGAAATTCTTGATGAGAAACTAACTGAAGGAAATCAGGCGTTAAAGAATATCTGCGAGGTGATGAAATCCCTTGAAACAAACGCAAAAAGTGCCAAAGATCAGATCGAAGAACAAAAGCAGAAACTGTCAAAGAATGTGGTGGTAAAGCTTGATAGAAGAGCCAGGAAGTTGAACGAGGAAGTGGACAACTTTTATGATGAATTACGCAATGAACTGAGCAAGCAATACGACGAAATTAAAGATTATCTTGATAGAGTGGAAGCTTCCGTGGCATTGCCAAGAAATCTTCTGAAGAGAGGTTGTATTGAAGAAGTTCTCTCATTGCAAAAAGCAATTGATGCGAATATCGAGTTGTTGGAAAATGAGCAACCAGAGGATATGACCCCAGTAAATGATGGCGGCATTCAATATTTTCCTGGCGATATCGATTATAAGGTTGCTGATGTTATTGTTAATAAATTGGGACATGTTGAAGGTAGGTCCAGTTTCATTAGTCGTAAATTATCAAACATTTTGTGAGTGAAAAAATAACGAGAAACGACCTAAACATTTTAACACAAACGATTGAAATAACGAGCTTTTTCATGCCTGCCTTCATAAAAATAACGAAATAGCAAAATTCATTTAAAGCCTATGCATTTTAATGAATTTGAGATTTGGGATCATATGCCTAAATTTCCTAGACTATATAACAACAATCCAGATTACAACTTTGCCCCTTGACTTTTAAGGGGTGTCGGCGATATTCAAGGGCTTGTAAAAGCCTAAAAAATAAGAGGTTCACCATGCTGGAGGTTTAAGCAACAATTGAGACTATCAAGTTATCTAGTTTTCTTTCACTTTTCCCCAACAATTTTTTAACCAGATTTTAACGTTTTAAAAAATGGTTTTTCGAACGATTGAAGGGGCGACTGTCCCTCTAGGCTACGCCCCTGCACCAGCCCCTGATTGATTGAAATCGTTATTTAGGTGATTCACACATCTCAGCTGTACTGGTAAATCTGAATACTTCTTCGAGTATTTTGAAAGGAGAGATTGCCTGCATTAAACAACTTCAGAAATGGTTGGGAAAGAAATGTAATTGGAATCTTTGTTACCGTGCTTCAAGAGATGGTTGGAGTGCCCAAGATTTTCACAGTCGTTGTGACAATAAAGGACCGACCGTGGTTTTGGTGAAAGCCAATAATTGCATCTTTGGCGGATACACTGATCGAAACTGGCTCTCAGGTAAGAAAGTTACAATTGAACGTGTAATGATTCGCTTTGATTCGAGTATGCATGTGGGAAATTAGAAGAACATTAACATTTGATATTTATGGTAAGATTGTATATTTCAAAAAACATGCGTTTTTCCCTCTCCGCATATTAATGAGCCTGCGAGCCAGGTGTTTATCTACTTCCCATTGTTTGAGGGTAAATATAATTTTCATGTTTATTCAACTTAAAGGACTGATATTCCCCTACAAGAATTCCAGCTCGTCGTTTCTGTTCTCACTACGAAACAAAGACAACCTTCCCTTCATTGCCGATATCAAGCAAGGTCAGGAGCACAACGCGATTAGCTGTCGTTCTAATTATGGACCAACCTTTGGTGGAGGCTGTGATCTGCTTATTTGTAGTAAACCTCATGTTAATCAATCATCATACTGCAATTTGGGAAAAACGTATCAACTTCCTCAACCATATGTCTTCCAAAGTGCTGCTGCAAAGAGCCTTCTTGCTGGCCAGTTCCAATTTATCACAACAGAGATTGAAGTTTTCAACTGAGGACTAACAGCAACAGATTTTTTATTAATTCACTGATTCTAAAAAAGTTTTAGGACCTTGTGATTTGGCGCATTTTTAACAATGTTCGGCCTTGAACTAGAAAATTTCACTGGTTTTGATTAAAGGACTAAAAGATTAAGACTATGAGTACTCTTTTAGGGATAATAATAATAGTAATAATAATAATGCATAGTATATAGTATAATGCGTGTATCCTACCACATTTCTATTGCCGCCCAATGTGACGTCAGTGAACGCCAAAATAGAATGCTTCCCACGAAATTACAATTATATCATTTATACTGGAACAATTATAGCGACTCTTTTCAAATTGTCTTTTTATGCAAACTGCTGAACTGCAGTAGTCAGTAGAATCAAGATATTGCCACATGTGTGTATAGCACCGATTTGTGTCAAAACGCAAACTCTGTATCACGAGCTCGAGTTCTTGTTATCGTATCTAAGAATCATTACTAGAAAATGTTTGTGTTGCATCCGTGTCTTGATCAACTGAACACCGCCAGCCTTATAAGAATTTAGCCTTATAGGAATTTGCGATAAAATATAAGTATAATCACCACACACGAAGATGAGGCTTTTAAATCTTTATCGCAAAACCAACGAGTTCATGCAAGCTCTTAAGGTCGACACAGACCGGACGCGATGCGGCAACGCGACGCGATTTTGAAATTTCAGAAGCATATGAATTAAATTCTGGAAGCAAAATTTGGAAACAATGGACGCTAGAGCAGTCAAAATGTTTTTTTGTTATGTAATCTACAAGAATATTATGATAGTTTAAAATTTATTTGATTTTGAAAAATTAAAAACGTTGAAAATTTGTGCCGCGTTGCCAATTCGCGTCCGGTCTGTGCGGGCCTTTAGTCTTAGAGTCAAAATCAGTAATTGTATAGCGCTGGCCAATTATTTCATCGTTATCGTTGCTTTTAAAACTTAAAAGGTTTGGACTATAGCCTCGTCGCAGGTTAAACTACTAAAAATAGACAAGTTTTGTTCAAGTTCCCAGAATTAAACTTCCGGGAAAAATTTCGCAATTTTGATGAGGGGAAACGTGGCGGCCGCTTGCAGAAATTTGATGTTGTGATTTGATCCAGAGAATATAAATAAGTAAAACTGAAATGGCAAATGTTGCATCCGACGTTGGTCCTAAAGACGATATCAAAGATCTTCTCACGTGTTCGTTGTGCTCGAATATTTTACATGATCCAAGAAGCTTAACTTGCCTTCATGATTTCTGTAAAGGATGTTTAGGTATCAAAGTTTCAGTATATTTTGTTTATATGAATGTCCCGTGCCATACGAATTAGACCGTGTCATACGCTTTATCGGTTTTAATACGGTATTTTTATTTATACGATGTTCGAGATTGTCATTAAAACCTTTAATCTTGAGCGCGCAGTGATGACATGCAATGGACACAAGTAACCCGTTTGATTCGGACTATGGCTTGTAAGAATATCTCATACATTAAAATTGAAGCTCTCCTAATAAGTGGGTCTCACTCAAGACTACTAAATACATAGCGAAACACTTGGTGGTCGACTTAAGACATGCATATTGCCGAATTATGCCTTGTGGAAGAGAGCAAATTTCGTTAAATTGCACATAGCATCTACTCAACATTAGGTCAAAACCTACAAGGAATATTTTACTTGATTTGATAAATATTGGAGTTGACCCCAAGTGCTAGACCTGTCACGTGACTGAAACCCAGCTACACAGCTTAAATGCGTTATGTAATTATTGCGTACGTACTTTTGCTTTACCGGGCATAGGTAATATACATTCCACATCCCTTCCGTCGACATGAATTGAAAATTATGTGGCTGGCTATATAATTATATCAAATATTTGTTCAATTACGGATAACGAATGTTACATTTATATACAGTGGCGTCGTCAGCTTCACACTCGCGTTTTACATTGAAACAATAATTTGAAAATAAATTAATAGTGAAAAAACATGCTGGCGACACCACCGTTTAGATGTGATTATATAATCAATTTCACTTTTGTCAGCGATTGCCTTTGCACATGATGTCACATGCTGTAGTATCTGGGCACAAATTTGCAAAAAGCGTGAGTTTTTGGTAAAATACAGAAAATATTATCGACCGTTGAATAATTTTCGTTTCTGTTTTTGTGATGCAGTTATGACTCATGAATATCTATCGCCTGCATAACTTTTCTTGCGGGCCAATAACACGAGGCCAACGCCTGACGATCAGGCCAATGATAGGGGCCGCACTAGGCAAGTGCTTGATAATTAGGCCAACATAATGGTCTTCGCAATTCTCTTTGTTTTAATATATAAAGATTATTAATTTACTTCTTTTCGTACGATTTTTACTGATTTACGACGAGTTGTGAAAATTCGCCAAACAAATGCATTTGCTAATTTCATATAGTGGTGTATTTATTGTATTTGTTTGTGCTTTATTGTTTAGTGAAGTATGTTGAACGCCTCCGTGGTGAGGATCAGAACATTGAGACATTTCCATGTCCCCGATGTCACTCAGAGTTCACGCTCAAAACAAACCAAGATATCAGTGGAATGGCGAGCAACTGTTTTATTAAAAACATGTTGGAAAATATGGCGATTCAACAAAAGGCAAAAGCGTCCACCGCATGTTCACGTTGCCAAGAACCTGCCATCAATCACTGCGCGACATGTGAGGTGTTTTTTTGCAAGAAATGTTCGGATGCCCATGGCAGTTGGCTGGTGACGATGAAGCAAGCAAGTCACGATGTTCTGTCCATGGAAGAATTGATCAATCCAGAAAGTCAAGTTAAGATTAAGAGAAAGCTTTACTGCGCGAAACACGAAGGAGAAATGCTTAAATATTATTGTGAGACTTGCAAGGAACTTTGCTGTATCGACTGTGTCGTGTTAAATCACCAGAAACCAGAGCATTCTTGTATGGCAGTGAGCGGTGATGCACAAAAACAAAGAGAAACCTTGCAGTCAAGCTCCACGATCCTTGATGAAAAAGTATCGGAAGGGAAGGGCGCGTTAAAAAACGTCTGTGAGGTGATGAAGGCTCTCAAAAAGAATGCTGAGTCTGCCAAAGACCAAATCGAAGAGCAGAAACAAAATATTTTAAAGATTATAACCGATGAACTCTGTGAAAGAGCGAAGAAAATGAACGAGGAAGTGGACAAGTTTTATAAAGAATTGTACAGTGAACTGAGCGGGCAACACGATGGAATTAAAGATTTCCTTGATAAAGTACAAGCTTCAGTTTCCTTGCCAAGAAATCTCTTAAAAAGAGGAAGTGTTGAAGAAATTCTCTCATTGCAAAAAGTGATTGATGAAAATATTGAGAAGCTGAGAAGCGAACAACCGAAGGATCTGACCCCAGTAAATGATGGAGGCATTCGGTTCGTACCTGGTGATATTGGTAGCATCAATGTGGATGAAATTGTTAGTATAATTGGGCACATTGAAGGTATATGCTCAATCATTACCACCAGAATAATGTATATTTCCTAGAGTGTCGGGGCTGTAGGCTGTATCCTGTAAGAGGATCTAATTTCTTGAAACAACCCGCTTTTTCGTGCATGATAAATATGATATTATGATTTTGGAGACTTCTGTTTTAGAATTTTGCGATGTAGAGGTGAATGTGGAGGACGGGTGCCTTCTACCGTCACCTGGAGCCCAATGGGCCCTATAGGGGTCTGGGGGAAAGTTTTGTTTGGAAGACTAGTGACAATTTTATCTTTTATTGTACAGGTGATTCGACAGTGTCGTCAATCGAGGCAAATCTAAGTTCATCGAATATTTTAAATGGAGAGGTTTCTCTAATGAAACAACTACAAGAATGGTTGGGAAGCAAGTGTAAATTCGATCTCTGTTACCGTGCTTCTAGAGATGGTTGGATGGCCCAGGATTTTCACTCACATTGTGACAATAAAGGACCGACTGTGGTTTTGGTGAAGGCCAATAATTGTATCTTTGGTGGATACACCGATCAAAACTGGGTGTCAGGTATGAAAGATGGGAAGAGAGGATGTGATATAAGATCGCTTTTTCACTAATTTAAGTTGAATAAATTGTATCTTTTGATTACAGAAGATATATAATCAATAAGTAATAGAACGAATTAAGTCGTAAAATTTTTGCAAAAAACCTACTCGCGGGTAACCAATCAATCTCTCGGTACGCAGTCGGTTGATTTTGTAAACACTCGTATGATTTTCGCATTAATTGCACGACTTAATTCATTCTGTTCCATTATGAATTACTCAAAAGAAGTCCAAGTTATCCTGGCTATCCTATGATAGGATATAAACATAAAGGTGTAAAAGTAAACATAAATAAACATGTGAAATTGCACATACGCATAGGGTCCGCCATTTTTCTGTTAAGGAAATTGCATAAAAAAGGGGACACAATTGATGACAGACGTTCTAGCAAGCGCTACACGCTCTGCTTTGTGATTATAGAGAATATCGTGCAATTTCGTTAAATTTCGTAGCCCTTTTAAATTAATTGTTTCAACTGCTAAAACAGGGCAATTTCGCTCAAGAAACCGCGATGCAACTACCTATTTATCGTTTTGTAGAAAAATGTATCGCGGTAATATTTTAAAAAAATATCTTTAGGGCCTAATTCTAACTTTTCAAAATGAAATTTTGTTGAATGTTTTTTGCCGTTCAAGGAAATACATATCGTCACTCCAGTTCGTCATTTTTATTCTCTTTACGAAACCGGGACAACCTTGGTCCGTTTATCTGCAACATCAAGCAAGGTCAGGAGCAGCATGCAGTCTACTGTCGCTCTTCTTATGGGACAACTTTTGGCGGAGGTCATGATTTGCACATTCGAAACAATCCTCGTGATACTCTATCATTCAGCAACCTGGGCTCTACTTATCAACTTCCTGCAGGTTATGTCTATCAAAGTGCAGCTGCAAGGAACCTTCTTGCTGGTCAGTACCGTTTCAAAACAACTGAAATTGAAGTCTTCCGCTGAAAACTGACATTATTTACTTGCTTTAGATTAGATATAGCCTCACGTGACTATCTTCTTTCATTAACAATGTCAATGCTGATTCATTCAGAATAATTTTAGATTCAGGGTGCGTTGAGTTCTTGTGTAAAATCAGACAGCCTAGAGTGAAACCATTTCTAATATCTGTATATACCAAAAAAAAGCACCTATAGAACTGCTCTGTTCATACCAAAGGAGTGTAGTTACCATAGTTTGGAGTCTTCAACACTTCTAGGTTTAATAAAAGCTCGCTCACACGGCAAACTGATTGATTGGGAAATCAAATTCACTTCTTTATTCGCTCAATCAAGACCTAGATTCTGTGATTGTGTGTGATTTCGATCCTAAAGCCCGCCGCACACGAGAGCTATCAGCTGAGCGAACGAGACCGAATTCGACGGCCAAGGTTCAACATCGCGCTCAACGCAGTTAACCTAGATCGAACTGCGGTTTTTGTTAGGTTATTTCTGGACTGTAGCTATACCCACTTTATTGATTTGTCCTAAACACTTTTCGGAATGCTACATACAATAGACCTTTTCAGCTTGTATGCAAATTAACCCATTTCAAGTCACATGGTCTGAAATGGTTACGTTTTATTGGCTATAATTACCAGAAATTTGCGACATGGTGATTTGCATATAAACTAATTTACATATAATTTTCAACAATAATGGCCTTTAACTTTTACTATAAAATACATATAGCAAAAGTACAACACCTAAAATTGCCGTTGCCCTGGATGTTGCCCACTATTTGCCGACCTCTGTATCAATATGATGATCGAATTACTTACTTTGGGTGCTTCTACGTTCCGCCAACCAACTGTGTTCAATTGTGTATAATTATATACGCTTTGTATGGTTGAACTGCCTAATGAGACTGATGATATTTTATGAAGTGCAACTGCAGAAAAAATCTGGACCGTACAGGAAAATTCACATCAGGAATACGAAAGACAAAATTTCTTGCTATAATTACACGTGAATTCATCAGCAATCCAAATCGAAATGTTCGTATGAATGTGAGCGATTTTATAAGTTCGTTGAGAGAACACGGCCAAAATTTTGGGCAATATATTTTTAAATTTGGCGGACTGCAGAGGTACCCAAACAGCTGCTCTATCCATCTGCATGGACTGGTCGGCAAATAGCGGTCCAAGTCGGTGGCTCTGACGTTACCAGGGACCGCGGAGCAGGGTGGCTCTCTGGGCTTTAGCCCCATCAATAATTTTTTCGTAATTAGTCTTTAATTTCAAATATTTTTTAGTTTGCTCAAATTTACAAGCAATATTTTTAGCACTTTGTATTTTTTGCTTACAAGTATATGTAGTGTATCTTATTTTGAATACTATCGTAACTTTTACTTCTTCAACGTATATTTTAATAACCAATTCAAGAAAATGAGTATTCTAGCTAATTTCTAACGATATCTGTCGTAATAAATCCGCCGTGTTTACAAAGGGATTGAAATTAGTTATGTTCAGTACATATGTTTGGCCAAAATAGAAAAAACAGAGACAAAAAGGACAAGTATTTGACCATTAAAACAGCGTGGTTATCCATATCAAAATATTTGACATCATAACCAATGCATGGTTTTATTTTCTGGTATAATCGGCCATGGTCGAGTATACCGTTTTCCGGCGTATTCGACCATGGTCGACTTTTCCGGCCATACTCGACTATGGTCGAGTATACCGTTTTCCGGTGTATTCGACCATGCATGGTCGAATGTACCGTTTTTTCCAATGCATGGTTATATTTTCCGGTATTGTACCGTTTTTAATTTTTCCGTATATCCGACCATGGTCGAGTATACCGTTTTCTGGTGTATTAGACCATGCTCGAATGTACCGTTTTTTCCGTATATCCGACCATGGTCGAGTGTACCGTTTTCCGGTATATTCGACCATGGCCGAATGTATCGTTTTTTTCGTACATTCGACCGTGGTTGAGTGTACCGTTTTCCGGCGTGTTCGACCATGGCCCATATTCGATGTTTGCAAGTTGCAACTTTATATAAATGTTTGTATATGAGCATCAAACATTACATAGAAACTTTACATAGCACCAGAATTAGACCATTTAACCTGCGTGGCCATCCATATCAAAATATTTGACATCATAACCAAAGCATGGTTATATTGTTTAATGTTTGTATATGAGCACGAAACATGCTTGCAACTTTACATAGGACAAGCATTTGACCATTAAAACAGCGTGGTTATCCATATCAAAATATTTCACATGATAACCAAAGCATGGTTATAATTATTGTTTAATGTTTGTATTATGAGCGCGAAACATGCTGGAAACTTTACAAAGTACTATCTACTATTTCCCAAAAATCCTTAAATTGAGAGGCATTTGCGGCCATTTCAGAGGCCTATGTATATTTCAAAATTTTCCTGCACTCTCCTAGCAATGATCGTCACAACATCTGAAATGGGTTAATTTGCATACAAGCTGAGGTCTATTAGTAGGAATATTGTACTTTCCGCACGCAGTGCATGGTATTTACTGCAATGCTCAAAATCTATAAGACAGAGTTAGAAACGTTTTGCAATCTTTGAAAACGATGGCCAACACATAATATACCACAACACAAGTAGCCTACTTAAAGTATTGTAGCGTGTATAATATGTCTTTGACTTTTTTCTGTCTTGACACAATTATTGTATACAAATTGCTTTTTTACAATAGCGTTTTAATCAGAGCATATTCTGTAAACAGATGGTAAAAAAAATAATATGAAATCATGAAATCGGTTGAACCACATTCATTTCTCTTTATAAATTCGTTTTGTAAAAACAACCAAAAATCTTGTTATTTGAACTGTTCGTGTTGTTTTAAGTTTTTACTCACTCATGGAGTTTTAATCATGAAACTCGATCACGATGATTCTTGCGTGAGTGAGCTTTTGCAGTACGGACGTAAAAATTGAAAATTTAACAACATGCGCATTTCTAGACCCGACCTTTCCCAAGAAAGGTTCAGTTAAGTACCAGAAAATTTATCATCATAATCTCAAAGGCTCGGAGATCTGTTCCGTAAGCGCAGGTTTACAGAAAAAATTCACAACGATTTGTGATCTTTGTATTGTCTTTAATTATTCGTGGGCCTGACGGCCTTTATTTACGTGCAATTTATTTGATACATATATATACATATATATGGTGCTTTCAAAACAAGTTCTTACTATGATACCGAAGTACGATCAAAACTACAAAAGTTCGGTATATCATATTATTTCTATATAGCCACATTGGCAGAGACGTAATGTTATATATCAAGGCCATTTATAGCTTAAACGGCGGATAAGTCAAAATTAAATAATACTCTTACATCTCTCTTGAATGGGTCAACTATCCCGTCCAAAAGGAAAATCGGAATTGAAAAGGCAAGTAAATCTTTGGAACTGTTGTAGAATATGATAAACTGACAAATTTGCAAATATAGTAAATTTAAATCCAGTGGCAATATGGCGTTTTACGGCCATGATATCCTAGTTCCATAAATCTTATTAAAATGGAGCTTTCTTTCAACGTAGATGTAAAGGGGATTGAAGATTTATAAATGGCTATTCACAGCCAAACTTCGTTCTACATAAAACACGTGATGTTCAGCTGTTGTTTGCTCTATACACTTGATCGTATTTCTTCGCTTCACTATCCCGTCCAACAGGAAAATCAGAATTTAAAAGGCAAGTAAATCTTTGAATTGTTGTAGAATAATATAAACTGACAAAATTCGCAAATATAGTAAATCTAAATCCAGTGGCAATATGGCGTTTTACTGCCATGATATCCTAGTTCGATAAATCTCATTAAAATGGAGCTTTCTTTCAACCTAGGTGTAAACGGGATTGAAGATTTATAAATGGCTATTCACAGCCAAACTTCGTTCTACATAAAACACATGATTTCAGCTGTTGTTTGCTCTATACACTTCGAATATTCTCATCAAATGTATGACAGTATGATCGTATTTCTTCGCTTTACTATCCCGTCCAACACGAAAATCGGAATTTAAAAGCAAGTAAATCTTTGGAACTGTTGTAGAATATGATAAACTGACAAATTCGCAAATATAGTAAATTTAAACCCAGTGGCAATATGGCGTTTTACGGCCATGATATCCTAATCCGATAAATCATATTAAAATGGAGCTTTCTTTCAACCTAGGTGTAAAGAGATTGAAGATTTATAACTGGCTATTCACAGCCAAACTTCGTTCTACATAAAACACGTGATGTTCAGCTGTTGTTTGCTGTATACACTTCGAATATTCTCATCAAATGTTCTTCGAGAGCATGTCGATTTCTAATATGCCAAATAAGGGAGTTCGCATTCCCAATAACTGATTGATTACATATGGAACAGATATAACCCATTGTTTGCCTGGTTTAAATAGTTTTCTATGAGTAGTTCAGTTAAGCGTTTATTTCAGTTCAAATATGCTTTATACCTTTTCTTCTTGAAGCTTGTATAAAAGCTTTTGTCGCGGTCCAATAGCGGAGACCATTTCTTTGACTGTCTCTTCATTGAGTAAAAGGAGGGATTCTTGATCAATCATGTTTTCTGAAAAAATATCCAATTGTAAAAATATGTTACCTTCCAAATCAGGCTGAAACTGAAGTTCAAATTGGTATTAAAATGCCAATGCCACCAATGGGCTAAAGTGGCGTTTTGTGACTTACGTTTTGGAAAATGCCCTTAAAAACTCTGTGTAACGGCTTAGACTGAATTACAGCACATGTTAAAATAGTACCACGTAGTTTGAACATTACCAATTATTAGCATTTGTCAATGAGAAATTGTTTAAAAACGTATATTTTTTATATTTTTCATCGCTTTTCATTATTCAGTAAATGACTTCCAAATATATGAAGTGTTTTAGTTGTGGTTGTAAATGCGGAAAAAAAGAAAAAAACAAAAAACCTTACCTTCAAATACATTTTCAAGGCAAGAAAGATTCCACTCCTCAAGTTTTTTTTTAACAAAGGGATCCATTTATGTTAGATTAAAGTGCTATTCGGCTGAAAAGACTTCCCGATGACAAGTGTTTGTAAAAAAAAACTAAGAAAATCTCGGGAAAAGCGCGAAAAGTCCGAAAATAGCTTATCCGATCGGGATTACTTACTTCGAATAACCTTCTCAAGTCTCATTGGTTTGTTCGCATATGGGATATATTGAAGTACCTGAGAAAGTGTTCGAGAGGAAATGGTCCTATAGCGGGGAAAGATTCCCGAGCATATCTTATTTTACCTTTTTCCTGGTAAATTTACATATCGTATTTTATGACGCGCTATTCCCGTCAATATTCTGATTAACAAATATTCGTTCTGTTATATTTATATTGCTGCTAAGTTTATTTTTTCATTGACTCTTCGTTTATTATTAATTTGACAAGTTTTTATATTCGTTCTAATTAAAATTCATTTGCAAGTTTTGATATTCTTTCTAATTAAAAATTTTGTGCATGTTTTTTTTATATTCGTTCTAATTAAAATTCATTTCCCAGTTTATATATTCGTTCTAATTAAAAATTATGTGCATGTGGTGAATGTGGTGACGACGTTCTCGCAAATCGCAAACCAACATGGCGAACAATATGGCGAACGAGATTAATACAGCTTGTATAGCTGCTGCAAATGCCTTACAGGCGCTAGGTCATTTACAGCCTGGCTTTGCTAGCAATATATCTCCTAGATTAACTGAGAGCATGAACGTTAACAACAGTACAGAAACCCAGACATCGACTATTCCAGTAACTCCAGAGTCAATTCAATCGCGTCTTCAAACGTGTTTTCCAACTATCGCTGCTCGGCAAAGTCGTATTCCTCCAAGAAGCGGCAGGGTTTCCAAAAGAACAAAAGGAAGACCACCTCAAGGCAGACCAAAAAAAATGATAATTTATAAAGACTTGGTTCTTCTTCCTTCCCCTGATGTTGAAAAAGTACCAACACATAACAGTCGGGTTAAGCTGGAAGAAAGACAGCTAGTTTGCCACGAATTTCCATTCAACAAAGACTGGGATGAGATGACGCTTAAACGTGAAATAATGAAACAATTTCCCCAAGTAATAAATTTCGAATTTGTGAAGGTATGAATAGTTCTTTAATTTTATATGTGTTTACTTTATAATGTCAGCTAATACTAATCGCTCCCCCCGTTTGGGCAAAGTATGAAAACAGAGTGTATTAGGCACCATGTAAAAATAATCCGAAATTAAACTTGGTTTGAATTTAATGAATGCCTACATGCTTCATTAATGCCTATAATGGAGCACCATTAAAGATTATGAACATTTCTGATTTGGGTTGACAGGGTTGACAACCCTACAAAGTGTTAGAAAAGTCCAGCTCTTGCAGTATTGCAATAATTAATCAGGGGGGAAGTTATGCTTCTAATTGCAAGCCAGGCAAGGTCATAAAATTGAAAAAGGGTAAAAAGTGTTAAAGAAATCTCTCCTGACACATGCTGACAGGGCAATATTGGTCAGCTTTGATGCATGTCCAAATCTTATGTTAATACTTATCCTGACACCATCTTACCTTGTAATTATGTTAAAACAGTTCAAACAAACCTCACCTTACTTAGGTGTAACATTTTATGTTGAATGTTCTCATGCAGTAATGTAGAAATAGAAGTTCTTTGTTTTGTTGTAATGTGTTTTTATTATTATTTACCCACATTTGTATTTATAGCCTTGCTATGGCAAGTTAATTAAACCGAAATTCGCAGATGGAGTTCAATTGAACTCAGAAAGAGTTATCAAAATGGCTGGGCAAGGGGCAGTATATGTGAGGTCAAAGTTTCCATTGGCCGAAGAGGATGAGGATGATGAAGAACTTCAGCAATTCACTTTTAGTGAAAGGTAAATTAGCATAATTTTTTTGTATTTAATTGATAATCAGTACCAAAGGAGTAAATGAAGCTTTATTTTATCTGCAAATTTTGATTATCTTGTTGTAATTTAAATCACAAGGTCAGTACAATAAAAAAGTTACATAGAAGTTCACTTCAAAGGACTTTACTTATATACTTTCATTGCTTCTTATGTTTTATAATAGTGAAAGTGGACGTATTGATGATACTAATTGTGAGACACATACTTTAACAAGAGAGAGTTCTTTACTTCAACAACAGCAATTTACAAATTTTGTTAATGAGTTGCCAGCAGCTATGAACTCGCCTCATTTTAATGCTGATGAAATTCCGGACAACATACAGGAGATAGTAATGGGTAACAATAGTTGTCCAACAGAAATGCTCACAGTGGAAACAGTATGTAGCAGCAGTACTACAAGTGGGCAAAATGTATCAGATACTTCTTCAGCTGAAATGGAATGTGGTACCAGTCTTGTAGATGTATCAGATATGATGGTGGGGAATGAAGATTATCATGATGGGCCTAATGAGGCAATTCCTATAGTCCAGCAACCATATAAAGTAATCAAGATACACAGATTAAATGTTAAAAAAGATATGATCACTGCATTCAAGGAACAGTCTATTATGGACTGCAATCTTACATTTGTGTTTATTGATGGAAGAGGGAACGAAGAGAAAGGAGCTGGAATCGGAGTGGTGAGAGATGTTATTAGTCTTTTCTGGAAAGATGTGTATGATTCACTTCTCATTGGCGAGAATGAACGAGTGCCATATATAAGGCATGATTACAATAGAGCTGACTGGGAAGCTATCGCAAGGGTGCTTCTTAAGGGCTACCATATGTGCCAGTACCTGCCACTGCTTGTTTCAAAAACGTTCTTGTCCTATGTTTTATTTGGAGAATTGTCAATCAATGATCCAAGTGTCCTAATCCAGTCTTTCATGCAGTACATTTCTGCAGATGAGAGAAGAGTAATAGAGAAAAGCCTAACTGGAGACATAGATTTTGAAAACACAGATCAGTTAAACGAGCTTCTGGACGTGTTGAAGATATATGACTGCCGATCACGCGTTACACCGGAAAATATTGCAAAGATTATCCAAGAAATAGCGCATAAAGAAATTATCCAAAAGCCGCAGTATGTTACAGATTGCTGGAAGTCCATAATCCATCCCCTCGCAGAAAGCTTTCCAAATCCAAAAGCCCTCATGGACGTGTATGAACAGATAAAACCATCTGTCAGCAAGATAACAAAATGCATTCAGTCATACCCAGATTCCGATGCAGAAAGAGAGTGTTTGGGATTTTTCCGTCGATATATCAGGGGTTTGGACAACCCTGAAAAGCTATCAACCTTTGTACGATTCATCAGTGGTTCTGAACTTATGCTATTTGACGGTATTCAAGTGACATTTACTAATTTAACTGGTCTTGAGAGAAGGCCAATGGCTCGAACATGCAATACTTTATTGCAGCTTCCATCAACGTATCAGTCCTTTCCCGAATTGCGAGAAGAGTTTAATAACATTCTTTCAGGGGATAATTGGGAAATGGATATGGTTTAAAGTGTTTAGGTATTTGGCTAGTAATACCTTTGCTGGTAACTACGTATCTATACAGAACAGACGGAAAACTGTCATTGCATGTGGTCGTTGAGTTATCATAGACACGATAATAGTTTTATTTGAAACATATATCGACTAATTTTTTTAAAAAATTGATGTTATTTACACTGTTAATATTATGTTACTCGAGGCAGTCTTTACTCCAAACTTCAACGCATTTATGTTGACATTTGCAAAAGGTTTGGGTCTCAATATTGACACGACGTTATAGTTTATAGTCTGCATACAGAAAATGCGTTGCAAGTTCTAAAGTTTGTCTTATACTGCTCTATGTAGATATACATGATCTTCTATATGTATTTTTAGAAAACTATGTAAAACCAATTGATTGTTTATTGGTTGTGCAAGTGGTCCGGTCGTTGAATTTATAGTACCAGGTACTCCAGAACTTTGGACTTTGAGTATAATTTTTTGAATGTTCTTTAGTACATTTATACATACAACTTTAGCACATGCATTTAGTCGTAAAATAAGGCAACTACTAAATAACTGTGATTAGGATTAGCGTCCATTTAACCACGTTACAAATGCCAGTTGGCAAGTATACCCATGCAGTTAAGATATTCTTGCCTCCCTTCCAGACCATCGTCATTTAACGGGTGACAATTGTCATTCAAATACCTCAGATTTTCTTCCGAGATGTGGATATCTATTTCTGGCACAGAAACCTGATAGTCTTCATCTTCGAGTGGAAATGGGCCTTCAAAGTCAAAGCCATAATAGGCCATATCAACTTCAGACAAAATGCTCTCCACCCCAGTATGTCCACTGTGCATGTTCCGCAATGTTCCGTCTGTGTACATCTGAATTGGAGATAAATTATTCTCAGTAGACATGCGATGATTGTTCCATTGTGAAACAAACTCCTTTAACGATCTGTTTATTCTCGGGATATAAACAAAATGTAAGGCAAACAGGTGAACGTCGTTTAATATGTCCAAAATGCCATCAAGTTCCATCCTGTCAAAAATCTCGGCAAAATGACAGAGCACACCGGCGTAAACATCTTTATGAGCCCTTTCGACCCTGCAGTTGTGTACAGAGCTACCTGTGATAATGCTCCCTCTATCAAGTCCTCGCATTTCCAGCATGTACCTTGCAACATCAATGTTTTCAAGCCCATGGTCGCTCCTGACTCTTGAAGGAAGACCATATTCGGAAACACCCTGCAGAAATAGGTTCAGCACAGTACTTGCTCGATTATTGTTTGCTACATGTGCATAAATCAGAAGCCTTGAGTAACCATCAACACAACAGTGCTCAATTAATTTGTACCTGATAAGTTTGTGATTACCGTCAATATGCCATAACGAATTGGGAGCAGGTACTGAATACTTTCGACGATAAATTGTGTCATTCCATCGTAGCGCTGTTCCCAGAGGGTCCAACTCGCGCAAGCATTGTCGAACTCTGCTTCGCTGTACTTTAAATCCTCTAGCCCTAAATGCTCCTTGTAATCTCCGCTGACCAATGTTTGGAGTAACCCGTCGAATTTCGGTAGCTATTTCCTTTAATTGATTATCTATGTGCAACGAAAGGTAAAATATATTTAAATACGAAATTCTGAAAATCCTATTTATTCATATCATGAATCACGATCACAGTATAAATATTAGCCTTTATTATTGTGGCTAGTTATTTCGCATTGACTCACTTTTTACAGCATGTCAGGTGTATGTTTCCATGCATGAAGAGATTGGAGTAATAAAGTAATTTATAGTGTGAAAACGGCCTTTTTATCTTCTTTGAGGCTAAGGTATAAGAGTGAATAAAATGTCTCGGGGATGAACTCGAGAATGGGTTATAGATAGTATTAAGGTCGTTTGTCAACATATGCTCTGTAGTTGGCGTCGAGGCTATTAAAACGTATGTATGTGTCGCGCAACTTCGCCTCTCTGCAAGTTACGCTGCTGCTGGCACCAGATTCAACGAATACCACAACTCGGGGACTGTATTTTTAACTTTTATTAACACTCTATGTACAGGTATATATTTTGTACACACTTAGTGCACGTCGATGACGCAATACTCTTAAGACGACACGCTTAAGAAAGACACACTCACTCTGACGTTACGGTGACAACACACCACACAATACAACTCTCCTAATAACACTAACTTAAAGTTTACAATTCTACATATATTTATACTAAAGCTATAGGGGATATTATTCCATTTTGACATCAATTTCCTTTGCGCAATTTATGCACGTCCCAGGATGTTTTTTCCCGCAACGCGGTTAACTCTCTAACCGCACTGCCCCCATTCTTCCATCCGTTTGCGTTAGCGTGTGGGACAGGCGGTTTCCTTCTTCGTGGTTGGACGTGCGTTTGTTTGCGCGCATTATTTCCCCTGTTTTCAAGTTACTCTATTTCCACATAAATGAATATAACTATATGAATATAAAATACACACACAACACAAACATGACATTTGACACATTTTCACGACAGTATGCTATTCATGACCAGTACCTGATAATTCTGAAAAATTGTCTTCGATATCGGTGGATAACTGTAACTCGTCTCTTTTTCGTCGTAAGGTACTTTCACTGATACCGAGTATCTGCGCGATCTTGGCCCATGAAAAGTGCAATTCGCGAAGGAATTCAATTTGCTCACGTTGGATAACTAAGGCAGGCCGTCCAGGACCTCGTCCCTGACCTGTAGTCGTAGGGCAGACGAACGACACAGCTCTGTCTTCAGAATTCTGCTGTCGCTCTAAGGTTACAATTACTTCTAAAATTATCCGCGATTGTCTCAAGACAGTGGTTATTATAATCTTAAAATCATCTAGTATTTGATCCTGACTTTGTCCAATGCTCGCGACTAGTAACTGCAACGAACCAATTGCGTCCTCCAAGTGAGATCGTAATGTTTCGAGGTATTCAGATTCGATTTCTCGTGTGTTAATTTGTTGAATTTGAATAAAAAGCGATCTTAGAGAGTGTGTGAAGTTAGTAAGGCCTATTTCATTGCGTTCCCTGGCCACATTTATGCGACGTGTCGACATTTTATTATTTAAAATCCAACTTTTGCGATGTGTTTGTATATTTTAAAAACTAGAATATGCAGATCGAACAGAATTTTCAATTAGAACGAATATAAAAAAAACATGCACAGAATTTTTAATTAGAACGAATATAAAAAAAAACATGCACAGAATTTTTAATTAGAAAGAATATCAAAACTTGCAAATGAATTTCAATTAGAACGAATATAAAAACTAGTCAGATAAATAATAAAATTAAATGGAAGGGTTATTAAACGAAGAGTCAATGAAAAAATAAACTTAGCAGCGATATAAATATGACAGAACTAATATTTGTTAATCAGAATATTGACGGTAATAGCGCGTCATAGTATTTCATGTTAATACTCATCTAACATCACAACTTCATACAGAGTCTTAATATAAAGATTAAAACATGAAAGTTCTCATCGAATACCCAAATATACTATCGCACCCCATGTATCTCGAGTGGTCAGATGAACAACATTTACAACAAGGTAATATATTTATATTTATGCCCAGTTCTGTTCTCGATCAGAAACATTATTTACCTACTTAATCAGGGACAATTGGTCTTCTTGGTCTAGCTCCCTCAGAGCAAACAGAGCAAAAAATATATATGGAATTGTTCAAGGTGACCTTTTCATAAATTTCATGGAATATGTAGTCATGTAGAGGGTACATAAGCAATTTAAAACTGTATGGGTGTACAGCTAGGGCCATTTTAGAGACCTTTTGTCTTGGGGGGGGGGTGAAAAAAAAGATGTACCTGTAATAGGTAGTTTTAGGGGGGTCCCTCCCCAAGAAGATATTTGTATTTTGGAATCTGTGCATCAATTTCTTGCATTTTAATTTGGGGGACAGTTCTTGATGTGTCCCATCTAAACAGAATGAGGTTTGTTGTACGTGATGATATCATACCTTTTTCTAAAGGCCCTACTGGAAAGTGTCGACTTAGAGACATATAGAGTTGGGGGTGCATCTGGAGTCCTCTTAGGATATATTTGTATTTTATATTCTGACAGACTGTAGCTTTATTTCATGCATTTTGGGGATAATTGTTTTTTGTCCCATCCAAACAGTGTGAGGTTTAACTGTTATCAAAATATCATTACTCTCTTCTTATCCAGTTATTTACCCACTTTTTTCTATTTTCACTCAAGAGGGACCTTTACTTGTAATGGGGTGGCACAAGAGCGGCTAGGGGGCATTTTCCCCTTTAGCCTATAATATTATCTGATCTAAAAGGCCCTGTGCGGCTATGCTCAAAAATGGTTGCAAGTTTTCTTTTGTGGAATGTAGTCTAATTTGTTATATTGGTACATGCATGTGTGTATGTAGGAATATATGTGTAGGAATTGAGTTGCACAGGCTGCAGATTATATTAAATAAGAATATTTATATTAATTTATATATATAATTGGGGTATAATACATTGTATTAGTTAGTCTATTTTCAGAGCTAGAGGGAACCTAATTCAGTGTGCCCTATTTATTTCTTTGACACATGCCAGGGGATTCTATTTGTCAATAGGGAAGCTCTGGGGCTTAAATTAATTTACTAAAAAAAGGTAGGAATGTCTCTATTTAACCAATGAATTGACAATAGCAATAAGACCCAATTTTTTGCTTAGTTTTACCCTGTCTTGTGCTTGCAGTTGCAGACATGTTTACTTGGCAGATACTCTCATCCACCAGCATAGGAATGTCTTGAAAATTGGGGGGCTGAAGTTCACAAGGTGCTCCCATGGTTGGCACCAAGCGAGAAAAATTTTGAAATTTGATTGCTTTAGATCTGCTGAAATGCCCATTTCAGAGTCTACTATTACTACAACCTATAAATAATTTCCAATACTCAGTTTGATCGAATTTCAAGGCTTGTTCTTCATAACTGGTGCATTATTGGGGGGTTCGAAATATATTCCAGCCCCCCATATATATTATTGGGGGGGGGGCTGCGGCCCCTGGCCTCCTGCTTCCTACGTCCCTGCTTTCAACTACGACTATATAAGTGCGAAAGCCTTTGTAAATTATCAAAGCAAGATGACTGGTGCAAATATTATGACAATATATAATATGACTGATGCATGACAAATTTATCTGCATGGTCAGGAATCAATAATAGAGTTAATTGCATTTTCTAGCTGTTATTAAGCCAGTTGTGTGTACTACCACATATCTGTTGTTTTTTCTAATGTCAAGGACATGGTTATAAATGAAAGCAATTTTAAATGCATTAATTTCACTTAATTTTTTATTTTCTCCTCCTTAATATGCAGTATACAGTAAAAGCTACCATTTTGTTTAGAGCTGGTATTTTTAAGTTTAACGCCAGAAAGTTCAGTTGGCAATGTGGTTAAGAATTCATGAATCCCAAAATTCTCAAGTGACAACTCGTTTTGTTTGTCATCGCGACTCTGCACCGAATTTCTTGAATAAAAATCGTTATAAAAAGAACCGGTCTTAAAGTTGACAAGTGGTCCTTTTTCGGCTCAAATTTGTGCGTTAAAAAAAAGCGAATTGCAGACATTAGGACTGTTTGTTAAAATTAAAAAATTCAAAAACACGGGCCGCCATTTTGCTTTGTTGTTCCAAATGATTATGTCATTTTCATTAACCAGGAACGCGGTTAGGCCGCGTATTTCTCGTTTACGACACGAAAACCAACCACGAATTCTTACCAGGAACACTTTTTTAACCATAATAGGGTTATTTTTAAACTAACCAGGAAATTTTAACCAGATCATTTTTAGAGTGTAGTGAAGCAGTTATATGTATACATAACATGAAAATATACCAGATGTCGGGCAAAAATGTGTATATATGTTTTGACCCGGTTTAGCTCACAAGTTCACAAGCTGTAATGATTATATAATATCACTTTAAAGTCCTCTATAATTATCATGCAATTAGAATTAAGAGGAAGGTTTCCACTACAGGCGGAATTTTTCCATGGAACAAAAAGTTTCGCCTGATTTTCTTATTAATTGCGAAATATCGACCGTAGCGGACTCCCTTGACAGCTAGGGCACATTTGAAGAGAAAATCAAGAGAAAATTTTTGTTTGATAAAAATTCAACCTAATGGAAAACCGCCTTCACTTATATAGTACATGAACAAAAAGTTTCAACAGATGTGTTTACATGACCTATTTTGGTAAAACCATTATGAAACGTTATATTACGTTACTCCAGCGGAGGCGGTTTTTGGGACAGATTATTTAGATTTTTGATTTATATAGGTGCAAACTATGCGTTACTGAATTCAATACGTTCTTTAAATAATAATATGGCATGCGAATTTGCTTTTATGTTGATGTTAAAGGTATACTTTTTCAAAATAAACCTATATAGTGTGCGTTAATTGATATTTTCTTCAACCAAACTTAACAAACTCACTTCCATTTTGTTTGCTAGATCACGCAGCTCTTTGCCAAGTGGTGACTCTTCTTGTGACGCGTGGTGATTACGGTATGCGTTACGAACTTCCCATAAAAGCGTGAAGGCGCCGAAACCTGCAGTAACCATTCCCGTTAGCTTTGCCGCTGTCTTCATTCCCTCCTTAACGGCTGTTGTAGCTGCTCCTTTTGCTGCCGTTCTTGCTGCTTGTTGTGCTCCTTCAGCGGCTGCTTTAGCGGCTCCTTTAGCGGCTGCTTTTTGTGCGGCTAAATCTCCACCTTTTTTTGCGGCCTCTTTAGCTGCTTTCCGAGCTGCTTTTTCAATTGCTTCCTCAATAACTTCTTTATATGCTGTCCGTGCAGCTTTTAGAGCTTCTTGTCGAGCAAAGTTTTTTGTAAAGCCGTCGGAAATTTTTTTAACTGCGGATGATGCGCATTGTTCCGCTACTTCTTCCGTACCTTTAAATGCTCCTTTCTCGGCTATGAATGACAATAATTTAACTATCGATGAGAGGATCTCGTGTGTTTGCGGTGTAAGAAAATACGAGACCGGCAGTAATACAAATTGACTCAGTACATCTATAGCTGCAGTGGAGCCCAAATTCATTCCTATGCATCCAGCGCCAGCAAAGACGGTGTGCAATTCACGAAGTATACGATCAGATCTTCCCAAATCCCCATTTCTTATCTCATTAAGAATCTCGTTCACCTTTCGCACTGCTTCATTGTCTTCAGCTATTTGTTTTAATATCTTCTCCTTCAATTTGCTCATGCGCTGACCTCGATTTAATTCGCTCTTTATGGCCCAGCCCCCACCACCAACAGAAAAAACTCCTCCGGCCCATGTAAGACTTGCTATTAACAACGGGGTTGCAAGAACTCCAGTAAAAATTGTTATTCCAGCTGCCACTCCAAAGCTTCCACCCAATGCGCCAGTTAAATTTGCATTCCGACTTCCTGCAAAACACTCCTTGTGAATCGTTTCTGCTTCTTCTGAAAATTCTAATAATGCTGTGATAGTTCCTCTCCGTGTTTCCAGAAAGTTTTCAGCCACCTCCCGAATCATACGTCGTTCATACCGTGCAATTTCTCTATTCGGCGGCATCTTTATTTCTGACTTCTTAACTTCTTGTTCTAGACGAGTACGTGGTTGTATTATTATTCAGTTATATACTACCAGTTATGTTATAATAACGTAAAGAATTTAAAAAATTTCATTGGTCGAGAGCCATGATCCATAAGAGGACAGACGCACAGTATGACGTCACAGAAAATTGTAACAAATTTGATCATTCATGGCTTCTTTATTTTGTCCTTACTTGCCCCGGCGGCTCGTGGCCACTTTGTTTTGTTCTTATCACAAATAACGTCACACCGTGTATCTATAACTGAACAGACAACGGTTCAATGTCAGCCTCGTACCCAGGGGCTTAAATAGTAAAATACATAACGTTGCATTTAGTTATTGTATGGAGGTCAGCTGAAAAAAGGCGAGCGCGTGGGGGTGCTTGGCCTCCATACAATAAATAACTTAATGCAATGTTATACAGGGTGTATAAAAAAAACGCAACCACTTAAATATGCAAGAATACTAACTATTGTTCGGGTTTGCACCATAGCTAAAATGACTTTTAGCATTTTAAAT